CACTTAATCCCAATTGCCTAAAAAAAAAATTATACTGAGGAGATACTAAGCAGCACTGGGGTTCTGGAATGGCCCTAACTCACACTATTACCCTAGTACAATGTACAGTGAATACAGACCATCATGTCATTGCCCCCTGGCTGGGCCACCAGAGTCACTACGCTCAGGAACTGCCACAGGCAAGGCTCAGGCACCTCGAAAGAATTCTGGCCACATGTGCCAGGACTTGGGTTCCCCTTCCGGCAAGTAATCATCGCCTCCAAAGCAGGCAATTCCTCTTGCTTCTAGTCAGTCCCCACTGAGAGACCCAGACGCTTCTGACTTCTCAAACTCATGTGGGCTACCACCAAGACTTGGACTGTCCACCTCAGAATTGCCTGCCTATCCAGGATGGGAGAGGGTGCCTGGACCCTAAGTTCTGCAGGGACCTCTCACTGTTACTGTTCAGAGTTTGCGGGTCAGGGTAAAAACTTGAAAAGTGGATGCAGTCCCCGGTCTGGCCTCCGCAAATTCACTGGGAGTGTAATTGCCAGGTTTGTCCAGACCCCCAACTCCAGAAATGTCTCTGGGATCCTAGGAAGAATCAAACATTGATCTTTCCAAGAGTCTCCCTCAAAGGCTTGCCCAAAGAATCACAGAATCCATGGGGCGTAATTCCATTTGGATTTTTTTTTTTTTGCAAATCTCAGTTTCTCCAGCATGTTAGCCAACCCTAAAATTCCAGGGATCTGCCTTGATTTGCATTTCATCACAGTTAGGATCCCTCTGGAAGACCTCCATTCAATTGGCTGCTTAGGGCTATATGCATTTGTAAAGCAGGGACCACAGGTTCAGCAGTCTGGCCATTTCCATAAAGCATCGAAACTAAACAAAGCTTTCTCCATTCACACACAGAAAGGTCTCTCGGAGCTAGACTGGGCCTCCCCGGAGGTAATTAGCTAGTCATGCCATTAGCAATACAAAAGCACGGAGGCAAGCGAGCACTGCACTTTCTACTGTTTTGTCCTTTTAAATGCAGAAATCTGCTTCATTGGTCCTGCAGCTTCCAAGGTAAAGAGGAGAAAGTCCCTCAGAAGAACTGGAAGGTGCTCAAATTACCTAGTCAGCAGGCTCTGAGACTACTCCCCCACTGGACCGGAAAGACAATCTAGCACAATTATCCCCAGGCCCTGAACCTTTTGCCACGGGTCTCACTTTGTGGCATGGCTACCCACTGTTTCCTCTCTTATCCCTGGGGTGGAGGGCACTTCACATCCCTAGAGGCCTCCCCAAAGGCGCCAACAGCGTGACGAAGGCGGGGCAGGTTTCCCTGCCGTGGTACGCCCATCCTTTTCCATGAGTTGTTCTCTTCCTATCCTCACAATTGTTCTAGGCCCTGCCTGACTCTAGCCCGTCTCCTGGTAGCTTATGCTCAGTGGTGGAATGAAATAAGACGCTTGGGGGTGGGTCACAATTTTTTTTGTTAAGATTTGCTTAGCCGCAGTTGGATGCAGTGTTCCCCAAAGAGGGGCCGCCTCGAGCTGATTCGTCTGGATGAAGCCTGCTGCCTCCAGCAGCCAAGCATCAGAGAATGTTGGGAGCACCTCATACCTGTTTTGTTCTCTGGTGACCAAGAAGTCACGTCAACAACCTTCGCCTTTGAGCCAGAGCTGTTCAAGTCATGATAACAGTAATAATCGCTGGCCTATTGCTGAGGGATGATAATGATAACAGCTAGCTTTTACATAGCACCCTCCGTGTGCCAGGCACTTTATAATTATCATTTTAGGTGAATCTCACAACAACACTGGGAAGTATGTGTTCTTATTATTATCCCTATTTTACAGATGAGGAAACTGAGGCAGATAACAGCTAAGTGACGCCATCATCTGAGGCTGGATTTGAACTCAAATCTTTCTAACTTCAGACCACCACACCACCTAGCTGCCCTTTCACAAGCATGGTTTCAATGTCTTTCAAGGAAAAACTACCCCATCGTGCATTGTGGAAGGAAGAGGTCAGGTTCTTGTTCCCACTACAAACGGCAGCAACTGGATCACTGGCCATTGACGTGAGGGAGGAGGGAGATACCCTGGAATGGGGCTCAGAGCAACAGCATTAGAAAAGTCAACCTCTTGGAGTTAACTCTGCTGCAGGAGGGGTGGGAAACCTACCTAGTAGGCAAAACTAGGGTTAGAAGAATAGCTCCAGCATCTTGCTACAGTGTCAAGCTCAGTAACGTGGCACAGTATCCCAAAAGAGCTCTATAATCATTTAAAAGAGTTCAATACAACCATCCACACTGGAAAAAACCAAGAGGATGAAGAGTGCCAGACTCTGAAGAGTTCACCCAGAAGGCAGAGCTGATCCCACTGTATACGTACCTTAGATAGACAATGGACTAGTACCTGAACCCAACAAGTAGAAAACAGAATGCTCTTAATGTCTCTGTCTCTCGCATCTTTTTAAGCAACAGTCTTCCTTTAAGGCGTCAAGTCATGGAACAGCACTGCCGCCAAAGAACTGGGATTGAGGGTTATGCAAAAGGTAGTAGAGAGAGGCTGGAGGCAGTGGTGAGTGGGCTGCTGCGCCTTGTTAAAAAACAATCATGCAAGAGAAGAGTTTAAGGGCTATCATCAGGGAAGATGTGCGACCAGGAGAAAAGGGAGGAGGTCATTATGTGGGGAGAGCCAGGGAGACCCAGTGGTCAGTCCATGTGTTCCAATGGTCAATCAATCAATCTGTCTTTACTAAGCACTTGCTACTACTAGGCATTGTGCTGAGTGCTGGGGATACAAAAAGAGGCAAAAGACAATCCCTGCCCTCAAGTAGTTCATAATCTAATGGGGGAGGCAACATGAGAATACAAAGAGAGAGAGAGAGAGAGAGGGTGCAAGCTATATGGAGGATAAATATTCAATAATTAAGAGAGGGAGAGCCTTAGAATTAAGAGGGGTTAAGGAAGCCTTCCTGTAGAAGATGAGATTTTAGTCAGGATTTAAAGGAAGCTGGGAAGGTCAGCAGTTAGAGCTGAGGTGGAGAGTGTTCCTGGAGTGGGAGACAGACAGAGAAACTGCCTGGAGCCAAGAGATAGGAGTATCTTATTTGCAGAACAGCCAGGAAGTCAGTGTAACTGGATGGAACAGTATGTGATGGGAGTAAAGTGTAAGAAAACTGGAAATGGAGGAGGGCCCAGATTAGGAAGGGCTTTGAACGTCAAACAGAGCATTTTGTATTTGACCCTGGAGGTGATAGGGAACCCCTGGAGTTTATTAATTAGAAGGATAGTGTGACTGGACCTGAATTTTAGGAAAATCACTTTGGCGGCAGAGTGGAGGATGGAGTAGAGTGGGGAGAGGACCAGAAAGCAGGCAGACGCCCCCCCCCCAGCAGATATTGTAGTAATCCAGGCGTGAGCCAAGCAGGGACTGAACTGGAGCGGGGGCAATGTCAGAGGAGGAAGGGGGCAGATACAGAAGATGTTAGGACGTCAGGAATGACAGGCCTTGACAACAGATTCGATAAGAGGTTGCTGGGACTCAAGGGTGACTCCTAGGTTCAGAGATTGCCCGAGAGAATAGTAGTGTTGCCCTTTGCAGCAATAGGGAATGTAGGAGAGAAGAGGGTTGGGGGGGAGGGGGAAGGATGGTGAGTTCTGCTCTGGACACATTGAGTTCCAGATGTCTTCTGGACAATGTTGTCTAGAGGAAGGCTCCTGGGGTCCTGGGGGAAGTCCTTTGTGGAGGCCCAAGGGAGGGCATGAACATAAGTCACACAGGAGCAGAAGGAATGAATGGGTTAGATCTCGGACCAGGAATATATCAAAGCCTCAGAAAGCAGCAGATGGGAACTAGAGGGGAAAAAATGATTTGAAGAATGGTTCCCTGGGATTCAGGAGGACCTGAGTTCAAATCCAGCCTCAGACACATAACACTAGCTGTGTGACCCTGGGCAAGCCACTTAACCCCATTGCCTATCCTTAAAAAAAAAAAAAATGGTTCCCTGGTGGTCTGCAAAAACCACAAATGAAGATATTGCCCATGATGGTATTCAGTGTCTCTTGTGTAAGTCTGTGGGAGAAATTCTTACAAGAAATTAGTTCCAGGAAAAAGTGAGTCTCTCCAGAACTGGGGTGGGGAACCTGTAGCCCCAGAGAACACATGTGCCCCTCTAGATCAATCGTGGCCCTTTGACTGAATCCACACTTGTTGGATTCAGTCAAAGGGCCACACTTGAGGACCTAGAAGTTTTGGATTCAGTCAAAGGGCCACACTTGGGGACCCAGAGGGCCACATGTGGACTCGAGGCTGCAGGTTCCCTATCCCTGCTCTAGAACAATGTGTGTGCTTCCTTCCACTCAATAGCACACTGTGGAACCCAGGATGTTTCCCATCCTGCATTGGTCCCAGCGAAGCTTAGAGCCCAGCTGTGCTAAGTCATTGGGGTGTCATTACATTTCTGCCTCAGGTCACTGATTTCTATTCCTCTTTTCATCTCTCTTTGTCTTTTATAGGGGTTTAAACTCGGCAAACTACCTCAAATTCTTTTTGGAAGTTTTCTGTTGCTGCTCAGTCATTTTCAGTCGTGTCTGACTCTTCATGACCCCATTTGGGGTTTTCTTGGCAAAGATACTGGAATGGTTTGCCATTTCCTTCTCTAGCTCATTTTGCAGATAAAGAAACTGAGACAAAGAGGATTAAGTGACTTGCCAAGGGTCACACAGCTAGTAAGTGACACCATGCCACTACCAGCCCCAAAAGTAGACATTTTAAAAACAAAAGACATGGGATTAAAAAAAAAACCAAATTCACAAATGAAACTGAGATTTTTTAAAAAAACTAATAAAATAGACAAGCTGTTCTATAATTTAAATTTTTTTTAAAAGGTGAGCTAAATGATCAATTAAAAATATTTTTAAATGAGAAATTACAGGCTAAAGGTTAACATTTGGCTCAATAAGATAAGAAACAAAGCAAGGTTGGCCATTGTCACCACTATTATTTAATATGTGAAACCTTCCAAGCATTTTTAGGTAGCAGTTATTCAGAAAAAGCCCTGGGGGTTTTCATGACCTGCAAACTGGGTATGAGTCAGCAGTGAGATGTGGCCAAGAAAGTGAATGTGATCTTGGGCTCCACTTAGAGGCTGGGCTTCCAGGAAAAGGGAAGTGGCTGTCCCACTCTCCCTTGCTCTGTTCAGATCTCATCTGGTTCCATTCTGGGCCACGAGGTTTAAGGATATTGGTAAGCTGAAGAAGGCAGAGCTGGATAGTGAAAAGTTTTATATTCGTGCCACTGTGAGGATCAGTGAATGAATTAGGACCAGTTAGCCTACTGAAGAAAACCCTGGGGAAATGTGAAAGCTGTCTGTAAGTATTTATCTGGAGGCATGTCACATGGAAGGTGGGTGGCACTTGAGCCCATTCTGGTGCATTATCCTCGATTGCAATCCCCCATTACAATGAGCACTTCCCCTATATCATCTCTAGCTCTGGTGTTTCAGTATCTTTTAACCAATTAATATCAATTAGCCTTTACAAAGAGATATTCTGTGATATGATATAGCAAGAACAGAAGTTATAAAAGTCCCTGCACTCCAATACCTAGGGGACACTGTCCCCTAAATCACTTGGTCCCTGGAGAGAGAGAGCTCAAACTTACAGCCATTTCTACAAAGCATCCATTCCCCCACCAAGGTCACCTCTAAGCACTACACAGCAGATGGACCAGGTGCTGTCCCTCCCTGTGGACTGCCCTTGCTCCACTATTCTGCTAGGTCAAACAGGGCTTGACTGACCACAAAATCTGACTTCTAAGCTTCGAATCTGGATTCCAGGTCCCGGGCCTTTTTAAGCTCCCAAAGTCACCACCTGGTCCAGGGCCAGGACTGGACAAAGAATAAGAAAAGACGAAAACAGGAGGCCAACATTCACTGGCCACATATTGGCCCAGATGGGAAGAATGGAAGATGAAGGTCCAAGGCTCTTCTCTCTCTCCCCCCTCCCCTTCTATCTCTCCCCATCTCTGTGTCTCTCTCTGTGTCTCTGTCTCTCTTTCTCTCCCTTCCCCTTCTATCTCTCTCTTCCTGTTTCTGTGTCTGTCATTCTGTCTGTCTTGCTCTGTCTCTGTCTCTCTGTGTCTCTGTCTCCTCTGTGTGTGTGTATGTGTGTGTCTGTCTGTCGGTCTCTCTGTCTGTCTCTTTGTTTCTGTGCCCATGTGTGTGTGTGTGTGTGTGTGTGTGTGTGTGTGTGTGTGTGTCTCCACTGCCCCATCCACCCAAAGGCTTACAGCATGTCTTTCCTCAATCACAGCCAGGAAGGAGTGAGCCTAGCTGTCTAGTTAGCACCTTTTATAAGGATTCTCAGTTCTGACTCAGCAGCCGGATGGAAAGGCTCCTCTTCGTCTCAGGTCAGCATAGGCTCTGCAGTCCAAGTGGGAATTGCCTCAGCAGAGCCCATTGAGTATGCTCCAAGACCCAGGCTTATTGATCCATCCACACACATACACACAGTGAACAGACTTGTCGTCTGGCCCCATGGAGCAGAATAAGGAGCAGTGGTTGGAGTCAGAAAGAGGTCAATGACCTGGGCTGGGCCAATGGTGGGGAAAGCTTCCCTAGAGTGGACTGGCCTGCCTCCAGAAGTGGGCGGTCCCTCCTCCCTTTCAAAGCAAGACTGGAGAACCCATGGTCAGGGATGGGGGGTGGGGTGAGGTTAGGGTCAGTGGCTTTGAAGACCTTTCCAACTCTCGGATCCTGTGATTCAGGGGATGGGGAGCCAGTATGTGGAGGACACAGCATGTTCACGGGCAAGTAACCACAAGGCAATTCCAGGAGAGAGGGACAGCGCCAACAGCTGGAACACAGAGGAACAGCCTCCTGCTATTCTAAGAAATAGAGGCCAAGAGGGGCAGTGTCAGGCGTGAGGGACAGAGGGAGGGTCTAAGAGGTGAGCTCGGCTGCATCAGGACTGGACCTGAGATTTCATAAATATAGGGAAATCCTCCATGAGGAAATACTGCAACCAAGGCAAGTCACTACCTTCTCTGATGTTTATGATTTTAACAAATTGCTGAGAGCACTAAAGGGGTAAATGACTAGTCCAAGGTCACATAGCCAAACTTATAAACTGGACGTGAACCCAGGTCGCCTGCATTTCAAGACCTCCTCTATTCATTACAACAGATACGATGAACACAAAACCTCAGGCTGCGTGCGTGAAGCCCACGACACCCCCTCGTGCAGCCAGACCAGCTTCAAATACAAGTGGGTTACGTGCAAATGTACTCTGTGTGACGGCACATGTGGCCCCTGTCCAATCGCTTGCCTTCTCAGTGAGGGAGGAGGGAGAGAATTTGAAACTCAAAATTTGAAAAAAGGAGGTTGGAGTTGTTTTTACATGTAATTGGGGGAGAAAATAAAATATTAACTTAAAAAACAAATGTAAGTGGAAAATATTTAACAAAATAAATAAAAATATAATAAAAGATAGATAATATTATGTTTTTAAAACTCAGTTACTATGCAGCTCCCAGGGATCCCTATATATAATTTGGTGGCCCCTCCATGTTGATTTCAGTCTGATCCCATTGGGATACATCAAAGCTGCTTCTCCTGAAATAATAATAGCTAACATTTATATAGGGATTGTTATGTGCCAGGCACTGTGATTAGCGCTTTACAACTATTATGTCATCTGATGTTCACAACAACCCTGAGAGGGAGGGAGAGGAGAAAACTGAGGTAGAGGTAAATGACTTGCCCAAGGTCGCACAGCTAGTATGTATCAGACTAAATTTGAACTCTGATCTTCCTGACTCCAGGCCTCTTGCTCTGCGCACTGTGGCACTTGCTAGCTGCAGATGTGTAGAAAGTGACTTAGAGAGGGGCCAGGAGGCTGATCAGCATTACAGTGATATCACTATCACCCTCCACCCCTTGCCCCAGCACCCAATTGGAACCAATTCAGTCCAAAGCAACAATGTTTCATTGGAGTCTACCATGTGCCCAAGCGCTAGAGACACAGAAACAAAATAGCCCTAAAGCTCATGGAGCTTTCTAAAAGAAGGCAATGGGAAACCAAGAAACTCAGAGCAGCGGTGGGATGGTTGGGAGGCTTGTATGGAAGGAAGTACTTGAGGTGAGACTAGCGGGGGCTAGGGAGCCCAAGGGGCAGAGCAGAGCAGCAGGGCATTCCAGGCCTGTGCAAAGGCTTGAGGCGGGGGAGGGGGTGCCAGGCTCAAGGAGCAGCAAGACGTCTAATGTGGCCCAGAACAAAGAGTAAGCAAAGGGGATAATGTACAGTGAATCTGGAAAGGTAGGCTGGAGTCAGACTGTGAACGGCCAGACTGAGGGGTTTGTATTTTAGCCCCGACGAAATGGGGAGCTGCTGAAGACTTCGGATTAGGGTCATTGTTTTGACAGAGGCAGGAGGATGGCTTGGAGACAGGAGGATCTAGGAGCAGGGACACCCCTTCCAAGGCTCTCCAATCCATCCCTCCTACCACTGGCCAAAGCGTATTTCTCTGGCATGGATCTCACGTGGCGCCAGAACCCTGACCCTATTCCAGGTTTTATGTGACTGCTTTAAATAATCATTTAAGCTCCTCTGGCTCCCAAGGCCCAACTGAGGGCAAAATAGGAGTGGGCACGAAGGCTGTCAGGGAAAGAGAATGACTCCAGCACCCAGTGGAGAGGCAGGATGGCGTGGTGGGCAGGGCTCTGGCACTGGAGTCAGGAGACCCACCTTTGAGACCCGGCTTCAATCCTCACTCTCTTATGACATTAGGCCAGCTCCTTCGCCTCCAAAGCCTCGTTCTCCTCCCCCAAACTACCTCTAAGAAGGAATGAGAAGACCTAAACAATGCTTTCAGCTGAGGTGATGATCGTCCCAGGACTGGAAGGGACAGCAAAGATCAACCCCCTCATTTTGCAGATAAGGAACCTGAGATCCAGCACAGTTAAACAACTTGCCCAAGGTCACACAGATGGTAAGTGGGAGGGCCAGGACTTTGACCGGTCTCCCCACTCCCAGTTCAGGGTTGCTCTGCAGAGCAACCTTGTAACCCTAACATGCTGTAGAGATGTAAGCTGTTGTCATGGAGATAGAAGCAGGGGTCCTGTGACCCAAGCCTGGCCAGGCCCCCGTCCCCTGAGAGGGCCGGTAGGATTCTGTTGCCCTCTGACCTTGTGTACCCCTGGAGGAACAGACTGTCTCCCTGTCTCTGCACATTTTCATTGGCAGGTGGTGGGCTGGTTTTCATATCTCCTGCGGGACTTTCCTTCACGATCTTGGAAGCCCTGGTCTAGTCGCCACTAGGGCCTAATGGAAGTAGAGGCACCGGAATGTAACCAGCTAAAAACATAGACAACTTTGAAGATCAATTCAATTCAATTCACATTGGAAATTTTGATAAACATCTGAGAAATGACTGAGGAAGATGATACCATGCCCTTCCTCCTGGCCTCAGCACCAAGTTCAGGGCCAAGGCTCTGGCTCCCTCCTCCAAAGGATGCTCCCCCAGAGCAGCCTGGCCCCCAGCAGGGCCCTTCCCAACGGGTCCCTCCAGCTCAGATGGTTCTTTGATATGAGAAGAAATGCCTAGGGGCTGCAGACTCACTTCTTCACTCTTTCCTTCTGTAGCCTCCTTGGAAAGGCATCCTTTGGCCCTAATGAAAACAAAGGGTGGAGGGAAGTGAGCACAGAATGGGAGGACCCCAGAGCTGGAAGAGACCTTAAGGGCCATGGAGCTCAACTCATGCCTCAGCAAAACTCCACAATGACAACAACAATAATAAGTAACAGCACTTCAAAGTTGTTAAGCACTAAAAATATTATCTCATTTGATTCTCGGAACAAACTTGGGAAGTAGGTGCTATCATAATCCCCAGTTTACAAGTGAGGGAACTGAGACAAACAGTTCAATGACTTGCCCAGGGTCACACAGCTAAGTAAGTGTCTGAGGCTGGACTCCAACTCATCTTCCTGGCTTGAAGTTCAATATCCCCAATCCGTGGTCATCAATCTTGGGTGGAACACCTCCGACTGGAGAGTATCCCTCCACCTCCTAAGGCAGCACATTCCACTGTTGGACAACTCCAATTGGTGGGAAATGCTCCTGACCTTAAGCCTACATGGGAGGCTTTGCAGCCCTCCGCCCACTCCATCACTCCTGTTTCTGCTCTCTGAGACAAGCAGATCAAGGCTGATTCTCCCTTCCACATAGCAGTCCTTCAGATACATGCTTATGGTTCTCATGTCTCCCCTCAGTTTTCTCTTCCCCAGACTGAACCTCCTTCAACCCAGGTCCTCCCCCTAGTCCTCATGTGGCATGGTCTTGAGAGTCTCTGCTGTCCCGGATGCTCTCTAGGCATCTGGGGGAAGGGGCAACAGAGAGTGTGTGCCCAATTCCCAGCCCCACTGTCTGCCCTATCCCTTCAGTCCACCTTTCCCAAGGCCAAGAAAGATGACAGGAAGTTGCACTCTGGCTCAGCACTCTCACTCAGGATCAGATTTAGGGTGACTTGTAGAAGAGGTAAGATTTATCCTTGTGGCTTCTGACTCTTTCTGGTTGTGTGACCCTGAACAAGTCACTGACCCACTCTGGGCTCTTCACAAGCTGGTCCCCTCCTGTCTTTTAGTCTTCTGACACCTAACCGACCTCCAGCTCTCTAGGATTCAGCAATACAAGTTTGTGGAATGCAACATTCCCTCTCCCACGCTTTTGTGCTAGCTGTCCCAAATGACTGGCTGCTCTGCCCTCTGATCTCAGGCTCTCAGTTTCCCTGACTTTCTTCAGGACTCAGCTCAAATCTCACCTGTTCCAGGAGATTTTTCTCTTAGACACCTTAGCTGCTAACACCCCCTTTCAGAGTGCTTCCTGTCTCCTCTGTTTATGTTTATGTTCAGGGCTCTCTCTCCTGCCCACCCCCTTTAGGTTGTAAGCTCCTTGAGGGCAGCTACTGTCTTTTGCCTTTCTTTGCATCCTTAGCACTTAGCACATTGCCCAGAATATAGTAGCTGCTTAATAAATTATCTTGTCTTGAATGCCGCATGAAACACAAATATTAGGAATTCAAAGAAACTTGGGAAGATTTGGGTGAGCTGATGCTGAACTTAGTAAGTAGAACCAGGAGAAAAATACATACAATAACCATAATAGTGTAAAATAAATAAACCCCCTTACCCAGGGCCTTTCTTGATTTTCCTTGAGCAGCTAGTGCCTGCCCCGCCCAAAAAATCACCTGGCTTTTATTTTACATATGTTTATATGTACATATTATTAGCCTTGATAGACTCTAACCTTTTTTTAAAAATAATCAAGGTTAAG